GGAGTTTTAAAAGTCACTTGATCCCAAGCTGACATTTGGAGCAGGTACATCCTTGAAGGGGAAGACTGCAGCCTGTGAAGGACTCACTCTGAAGCACAGGAAAGGAGTGAGAAATGAGGACGGGCAGAGAGATACTGCTACATCCCGACCACAACCCTGCCGCGCTGCTGGGTGCCTCACTGAAGGGACTGAGTGTGACCTGTGGTGATAACAAGGGGGAGGAGAGGAGTCTGGAGTGAAGCTGAGCCTGGGAAAGGAGGAGGGGTGTTTTTTCCCTAAGTGTTTTAATGTTTGTCTTTTTTTGTTTCTCAATACCTAAATCAGTAATTAAATATTTATGCCAGTTGGCAACAAATTAAGTTAAATTCCCCAAGTTGAGGCTGTTTTGCCCATGACAGTATGTGGTAAGTGATTTCCCTGTCTTTATCTTGGCCCAAAAGCTTTCTTGCTCCTGTTCTTGCCATTTTCTCTGCCATCCCGCTGGGGTTTGGGGGGGTGAGCGAGCAGCTGTGTGGGTGCTTGGCTGTTGGCTGGGGCCAACCCACCACTATCATCTGGGCAAGTGTGACAATCAAAGAATTGCTGGGACAACTGAGCTTATTGAAGTATTTTCTTATGCTTGGAAGCCATCTACTGGCTAGGTAAAAAGAACACTAAATCTTTCATAGCTAAATGCTGGATTTGAGTCGTGAAACTCAAAGGCTGACCATTCCCAACATTTATAAGATGCAGTGTATCACAATCCTTAAAATTACTACCATGGGGAAAACATTCAGCTGAACATGAGAACTTGGCTTAAAGGACACAGGGAGTTAGTGGCTGCTATATGGGCTATCTACTTCAGCAGTTGCTACACACAAACTTGCACAAGTGCGTTCAAATTAGTTGCGTCCGCATTTCAATAAGGAGTTGATCTATGGCCAAACGCTTCACTAAAGAGGAAGATGTTTTGGTTAAATGCCCTTCCGAGGCATTAACCTTTGAATTATGCAAAATTGGAATATGCTGGAAGATGAAAGCATCCAGCACCCACCCTACCTCTTTCGTGTTTTCCATTTTTCCCTCCCACCCTCATCAACCAGCATGCACAATCCCGTGCCACTGGTCCCAGCAATGCCCCAGCCATCCTCCTCACCCACTAGCAAACCCGACAGAAAGGTTCATGAAAAGAGATGCAAATCAGCCAAGCCCCAGAGAGATAGTTTCCTGCATTTATCTCATGTCCCCGCTAGGTACATCACCTCCTGTCTCTGGGGCGTGTGGGTTTCCTTGCAAAGTTTCAGACAAATCTCTGAAAAAGCCTCTGCAAGGCTGCCTGCTCCGCCTCTGGCCAAGATCAGGTTTGGAGTAACGCCGCGAAGGATGCTGTGAACAGGAATGAATGCCTCTTAGTGAGGCAGCAGCACCCCTCCAGCCCCAGCTGCCGTGCCAGGCTCCTCTCCCAAATGATTTCAAAGGATCCTCAAAGACCTGTATTGTGCCCTCTCACGAAACCAGACCCAAAATGAAAGGAGTTTCTCTCCTCCCAGGGAGACCTTCAAGCACCCTGAAAGCCTCACAAGCCAAGAGGGAAGGACCAGGGCTTCTGTGGCGCCAAAATCCCAACTTGTAGGTGAGGCGCTTAGGGACATGGTTTAGTGGGCAGGGTGGTGTTGGGTTGACGGTCGGACTCGATCTTAGAGGTCTTTTCCAACCTTAATGATTCTATGATTCTATTTACCTTTGTTTCAGAATCAAGAGCTTTTCAGGAAAACGAAGACTCCAAAAAACATTAGTGCTGCAATCGCACAACAAGGTCACAGGTGGGACTGCTGTAATACTACTGAAGTATAGAGGGAAATCCAGCCACTGGCAAAAAAAAAACTATGAAGGAATTTTCTGTGCTTTGAAGAGAATGGACGTATCTTTATTTTTCTGGACACCTAAACTAATTTGAGATCATACATATTCCTTAAATCTGTGCTTTAGGCAAATTACAGATTGCATTTGAAAACTATTTCCTAGACATTAAACTCAATACCCTGAGACTAAGCAGGTAGACTTACTGGTAACGAACAACTACACTGGGTGGTTTTTAATTCGCTTCAACTTAGTAGCCACAGTCTAGTCAAGAAGCAATGTCAGTATTAGGGTAGAAGAATCAAGATTGCCAGTATTTTGCTTTGGAGTTAAAATGAAATATGGATCGTGGTTCACACATTTTTTGAGACACAATTTTTTAAAAAGATGACATTCAAAAACAAGGTCTTTTTTTCTCCATTATAATAAAAGATATACATTTCTTCAGCTGCTCTGTTACATTCTTAACACACGTTTTCAAGTTTGGGGAAAAATCCAAACCCACTGCTGAGGTTTCAGTATTTTTTCTTTTTCTTGCTAAACTATCAGCAATAAATAATAAACACATCCTGACTTGAAACTTCAGCTGCCTACAATACTGCATTTAAAAAAAAATTGGTAATGACTGTGTGCTTCTGGATTTGTACAGCAAGCTTGTCTGTGCCACTGATTGGAAAAGATGCTGCAGCACCTGTCACTTCTATAGTACCAGTTAGTTCCAGATGCACTTTATTCAGGATGATTTTCTTTTTTAGGTATTTTTCTTTTTTATATATATACACACACACACACATATATGCATATATACATACATTTCTTTATACGAAAAAAATACACATTTTTTTGCTTTATACATACATAAAATATATTATCAGAGAACCTGAAGAAAACTCAGCGCAGCCCCAAATCTGTCTGTGTTTCTTAAGATCCTGCATGGAGCTCTCTCTGCATTTACCTCTAAGACTTGCAGTTATCCTCACCTGAAGTTCCTCTTTCTTCACATCCCATTTCTGTTCCTGTCGTGATTTGGCTAGCACCTCTGACATCTGATAAGCCAGCAGATCTGTTGGCCACACATCCTTTCTGGATTCTTGGGACAAAATTAATCTCACCTAACTTCAGACATCTAGAGCAGAGAGGTTTATGCTGATCACTGCCAGCTCCCACTACAGTCAGTGAGGAGACCCAGACCCTTCTAGAGACCCACTCCTCTGACTGACTGCATGCCATGGCCCAAGAGGACGTAGTTCAGATGCAAACATCCACATTGGCGAGATAAATTCCACTGTCTGTGTTAGATCTTTATTAACCCCCTTCTGTTAATATGCTCAAGATTACAAAAATACACATTTTGACAATTTAACACTTTCAGCTATAATGCTTTTGTATCCTATTCATAAATAACATGCAAACCATTAAAAAGCTCCCTATAAAAATACATCATTTTTTTGGTATGTCTGCTTGTACCAACATAAGAATAAAATATAGACAAGTTTACTGATAGCTGTAAATGTTACTGTTGATGCAAAATAGATAACAATACCCTACTCTCAGGCCTTATAACATTTCCCCATGCGGAGCAGAACCAAATCTAAGTAGGCAAATTATTTCATTCTGTGAAAAAAGTTTCTTTTAATGAATAAAATATTTGATATGCAGGTTTTGATGAGATGAAATTATTATATGTATCAAGCCTTCTTAATTAAAAGCTACAAATTACTGAACAAAACTGAACTCAAAAACTTTCACGAAACAAAACTGTTTTAATACAGAACTCAGGTGTTTGTGTTTATAAATATATATACATATACATACAAATAAAAGGACCATAAGGGATAAAATTGCTTTCCTTTACACAAAGGAACAGAGCGGTCTCCGTGCACTGGAAGCATTACCATTTAGTTGCCTCATGCAACTGCTTTAGCTCCTGGAGGCCCTGTTCCCATTTTTGTTACTGGCTTGTATTTTCTCCTGTAGGAATTAAAGAACAAACCTGCCTGGCCCCATAGCTCTAGCATAAGGAAAGGCTTTGGTTCTTAATAAACCCCCACTTTTTTCAATACAACTGTATGCCTGTGGGATTGTAAGATTTCCACAAATATCTTGCAAGATCTGCTGTATCATTTTAATATTTGTTCAAATTAAGGTCCCTCCTTTTAGAAATTATCAAAACACAATTGATTCTTTTAGAAAAGAGAACTGGGCAAAATGTTGCATGGAATAAAGTAAATCTCATTTAGTTGTCCTGGACAGACTGCTTCAAACATTGACATTTAAACTAAAGATAGCAATCTTACACAGAGAGATTAATATATACACAGAGGATAAAACATGTATACACACCGCTAAATGTACATAATGCATAGAAAATTAGTATTTTCTGAAAAGGCAGCGTTTGTGAATGTATTCCGTACACAGCTTTCTCAGATTAATTGCAAAGGAAATCTTGATATCTCTTGGCAGATAATGTTGAAATCAGTGCTTAAAGGATTTATGAGTTGACAAAAACCATAGGCAGCTACTGAGTGTAATTCTACTGCATGTTACTTATTAATTATTATTGCCCTTTTTAAGTTTGGGAAAGCTTGTGTACTTTCCTCAGTTATAAAGTAGATCTTCCATTCACTGGCACAGTATTCTTTTGCGTGTGGGTTGGTTTTTTGTCCCCCGCTGTGTAACATTTCTTAAGCTTCAGATATCAGTGCTGAGTGCAGACAGCCTAATTTCAGGTGTCTGAAGTAAGTACAGCCTGCAGCTGCTAGCTCTGCCCATCCCCGGAGGGAGGTGTTCCAGCAACCGGGGAAGCCACAAGCGATTTGAAGCAGCGACGCAGAGGCCCCAGTTTACATCCTCCCATCCCAAGTCAATGCAAGTTTAATAGCCCGGAGTATAAACTGTGGGACCCCAGAGTTGCTTCCTGCGGGATGCCTCCTCCCTAGCTAGAGACAGACGAGGGAAGAGCAGTAATTGCTTTAGGAACTTGAGTTTAACCCATCCAGAGATGTCAGAGTAAACCCTTGGGCTAACAAGGGAAAACCCAGCATTACCTTTGCCTTCTTTGTCATGCTTTTTTGTCTGACAACCCTCAAATATGACATTTTTCCCCCAGACAGTATAGCAAAATATTTTATGGTTTTTATGGCTGACTGGTGGTGAATTGAGCTGTTAATGGGAAAGCAAAATGTTTACACAATAAACCCATAAATCATTTTGTAATCATTAACTAGGATTCTCAAAATCTTACTGCTGCCAATTAGAAACCTAATTCACTGGAACTGGTCACTCACTATATTATACAAAGGAAAAAAAAAAAGTCATTGGTCCTTCACGTTCTGAAAAGGGGGATGTGATAGTAGCGGTCATCCTCGGTCAGGAGAGAAATCTCATTCCATTCCCTTCGGTATTCATCTGGATAGTTTACCTGAAATTCCTCAGTATTAAACCTATGCAGTCTGTAAACTCTTATCTTTACTTCAAGTAAGTATCCAAGAAGAAACAGTTCAACCTAAAGATGAAAGAAGTCTGTAAGACATTTATTTCTAGACTTAAAAAACTAAACCAAAGACAATCCAAGTTAAGGCAAGTCACCTAGCTTCGAAACAGCAGACAAGGAATAAAAGGGGCCCTTCTGTAAGTGAAGTAAGGAAATTAAAAGTTGAAGGGTATTCTCAATGTTCCAACAGTCCTTCCACTGCTCTTTGGCATGTAGAGGATATTCTGGTTAATGCTTGACACTTCAGAAACATCCCTCTTCCACCTGACACAATACATAACCTGCTCCCAAAGCCAGCTCACAGAGCTTAGCGGGGAGCACGAAGGGACTGGCTATTATTAAAAGATTGATACACCTTGAAAAATGGGAAGCCTGCCACCTCGTGATCACTTGCTACATGAGGGAAATATAATAGCAAAAGGAAGAAATTTCCTTGTACTTCATGTATATGAAACTTGAGAACTGGCATCTTCATTGACACTTCTTGCAAAGGATTGTTTAATCTGGAAAAATGCTTTGCAAAAAGCTCACATCCTTGGGCATAGCCAGACAGAGCAGATCTTGTCGAGTTATAATCAAACTGCTCCTGAAGGTGACTGCCACATGCAACAGTTGACTTGATAACTGAAATTGATCATAAAAAATAATTTCACCCATTGGAAAGTGAAACTATTTGCAGAGTGGCAGTGTGGAGCTTAGTCAGTACTTACTAAATATAAAATTGAAAAAAAAATCTTAACATATAACAGTAAACAATTAATAGAGTTCTCATTACCTACTCTTAACAGACATTAGATCTAATGGGAACCAAAAAGAGGGGAAAAAAATGAGTGATGATAAGAGGGTTTGGCATGGTGGAACAGATAGGAAAAGCAAAATAACAGGTCAAATCTGCATAATCTAAAATTATTTTACATATCAAAGGTATCATTGTTCTAAACTATGTCTCATTGATAGCTTGCAGCATTTATTTCTGGCCCAGCAAGAAAACTGCCCACCCCATTTTACTCTACTACAGTTTTTTTCCTGGAAGATAAATGACTATCCTCACTCCACCTCCCCACATCCCAAAGAAAAATAATGAGCCAGCTACTACGGATGATGTATGACATATTCACCTAATCATGTCAAAGATGGAATACGTTTTGTGATGTATTTTTCATTTATATCATTACCTGGTCTAGGCAAATAGAGTCACCTATGGAGTTCAGATGATTCATCATGAAACTCAATGGGTCAGATGAAGAATCACGAGCAAGGAGAAGCCTAAAAAGGTTGTGTATGGGTTCTTCCCTGTTCTTTATCTGCTCATAGGCTTCAACAACTTCGTAGAGCATGATGAACTTTATGGCCTCATATAGTTTGTGCTCCTTGCTCTCATCAGAAAAGAGTGTATTACACATGTTCCCTCTTTCTTCATGATCTTTAGTAGCACTTATTTCAGTCCACTGGAAAGCACACAGAAGAATATTAATTAGATTATTAAGAATTCTATTTAATATGAAAGATTCCAAAACAGGAACAATTGCTAGTCTGTACTACACCATTATTGTGGCCAAATGGTGGTGCAAACAAGCAGGTGGCTCTTTGGGATCTGCAGTGAAATCTGAAGCCTTACACATTTCAGTTTCCATTTATCCAGTTGAACCTATTTGCTACAGAAGGCTCCCAGCATCTGGATACTAATGATAGTCTACGAGGAATTAAATGTAATTCCCCTGTACAAAAGCCATTCTCCATCACCATAGAAAATCCAGGTATCACTGTCAGTAAAGAGCCTGACAGGAGCGTAACCACCAAAAGGACCTCAGAAAGTTACAGGAAATCCATGTGGGTGCATCAGACATACACACTGGGCCATAAGCAAAGATTAGATTAAGTGATGACTCCTGACCTGTTTTTAACTTACAGCTTCCAAAATCCAGTGATTTTCCTCTACCCTTTACATTAAAGTTATCCTAGCTTGAATTCTTCAGACGCTGAGCCCAATTCAGAAGCATGTCAATTAAAAGGAACCTATACAAACCTATACATACAAGCCAGCATGGTATTATGAACTGTACACATTTGTATGTCTTTAGTGTGTTCTGCCTCATGAGGTCAAGCTAAGTTGGCTGCACAAGAAGGGACGTGACAAAGACATGCATGGGACATGAACAGGGTAGGAATTTCTCATTCTGCTCCCGGTTGATAATGAGAGCTCCTGAGCTCTCTGTTGCTCTAGGGGGGGTCAAAAGCCAGCGCTCACACCCATCCAGGAGACAATGTTGGACTGGGTATCAAATCAGAAAGCTTAAAGCGCCCAATCCTGAACACAGTGGCTAAAAAGAGTCATCTGGAACTGAGAGGTTTTTTGGGATCACAGTAAGAGATGATGCTCAACGACTGGGATTCAAATGAATTTCAGTTAATTCTGTGCTTGTATCATCTGTATGTTGAAGTGGCCATAAACTGTGAATTGCAAGAGCAATTTAATTTACCCATGAATACTAAATCGAGAAACAGATCCCCCATCTCCTAATGCATTCCTGAAGACCTTCCTTACAGGTTAAAAGTGAGACCAAGTGGATGAACCACTGCTGCCCCTTTGCCAGAGGACCCCTACTACCTAAGTGAAAAGCCTGTCCGGAGTGTAAAGCACCTACTAACCAACACGGCCCAGGCACAGCAGCATCTGCAGGCAGCAGCCCCCAAGATGATGACGGAGCTAGGAAAGGCAGCAGAGAGGCAAATGTCTCCAGCTCACCCAACAACCAGGCACTCTTCTGTGGCTTGGTCAATGGAGGCAAGTCTGGAGTGAGGCCCAGACTCATGAGTTTGGGGTGTGTAGCAAGCCTCTTGGAAAAAAAAAAGTGTGCAGGTGTATGACTAATACTCCTTGAAAGGCTTAAAATACTTTGGCAGTGACCACTCCCTGCCACCCCTGTATCTTAAAACCATAGCTGGAGCAGACGTGCATCTATAAGCCTCAGACACTAAGAAATATTTACTAAATCTGGCTATTCAAACTCTGTGGAAACACACCAGGTTTCCTATAGTATAAGCTGAATAAAGAACTAAGTAGACAGTTAAATACAGCAGAACCTGAACTCCCAGGGCTGGCTCTTTAGCACTTTTCACGCTACTACATGTACCATAAAACCCTGTTAGTGAAAATAGGCAAAAATCCCTCTCACTGGCCAAACAGCATCTTTATAAAAATAAAATAAAGTTGGGAGCTAGACCTCATGCCCAATAACAGCATAATGCATAAGACAGCTGCTCTGCAATAATTTGTTAATTGTACACATTTGTTCACCGTGCTGACTTGAAACTTTTTTCTGTACAAACATCCAGTTTAAGTGCTTCATGCTAAGGAACTAAAATCAAAGAACTTACAAGAAGATAAAAATAAAAGCCCAACAACCCAACACTGGCAAACGCAACGAACGACCAGAACAAAATTATAACTGCGCGCAAGAACAACCAGGCACGTCTCAAGAAGACAGGCAGTTGTCACTGTGGCACAGCAAGGTTGCAGGCAAGAGACAAGGACCAGATCTCTATTTTAATTCCCTCTTTTTATTACTAATGCTTTGTTTCTAGAGCTAAATCAGTCTATTTGTGGTTTGTTGTTTTTCTTTAAGTAACAATTACTATCACTGAAAATAGGGTTTAAAACTACAGAGTTGTGGCTTATATGCGCAGGGCCACATAAAAGGAACTAGCTTAAATGTGTACCAGTAAAATAAGCTGTTGTGGCTGTGGTAAGACAACCCAGAACCATAAGGTGTATTGTAGAATTAAAAATGACAATTTAAGGTCTGATATACTGGATAATGGACGCCTTCAGGGAAGCACTTCAACCTAATCTTGGCCAAAACCCTGGAGTTCAGCAAATACCACTATCCATTTGATGGCCGTGACCCAGGAGAGCATACGAAGCAAACTGCCGGCAGGGGGAAGATGGGGAGGAGACGGGTGATGGTGTGCTAGGAACAGTCCACAGCTCACACAACTGCAGACACCCAGAAGCCCCAGAAGAGCTCAGGGAAGGTGCAAGGTCTTGTCAGGCCAAATTTTAATCTCTGTTTCAAAAGGCTTTGGGGCTACTAAAACTCCCAAAGTTTTAAATATGTAAGTAAGAGTTATACTTCTGGTTGGGAACGCAGGCAATCTGGCTCTGCTGAGCAGAGGGGCAGTGAGGCTGGCAGGTCTTTGTAATCAAGTGCTTCCGGTTACAGAGAGAAATTATAGTAAAACTGGATAAATACAATGTTTCATGGAGACAGAAGCAGAGGAAAGACAATAGTTTGAGAAGAAAATGCACTATTCATTTGTTCCCTCCCATTTGGGCAGGGAATCCAGGAGGATCTCCTACAGCATGTTGTTATTTTTAATCAAATGATGAGGTGCTGCAGGAGCTGCTTGATGGCAAGGGCAACTAACCATGCAGCAGCTAACAGCTGTGGGGAGGATGGCCTCCCTAACTTTCAGGGGGACCCCTAGTATTTAACCTAGTAGATCCCCAAAAGCTGGATTCCCCCACAGGAGAGGAGATGGCCTATGGCTCAGCACTATGAACCTGGGAGGGAGGCTGACTGCCATAGAAATAAGTAACAAGGAGCAGCTCCCTAACTCTGTCGCAACTCATTTCTCAGTGCTTTTTTTCCCCCAGCCACTTCCTAAATACTCACATTTGTCTTCAATGTCTCCATACATTTGCGCAATTTACCAAAGGCATTGGGACCCATGTATCTTTCTGGCCCAAAACTGTATTGCTGAATCCAGTTGCAACCTTGAGAATACAAAAGCTTTTCAGGGAGCTGGGGATTTTAAAAAAAAAAAAAAAAAAAAAAAGCTAATTAAGTAGAGATCATAACCATAACAAGAAGTAGAATATAAAGTTATATAAACTTGTCTACACACATTTTAATTTACGATGTGGTTCTGTCCTTTGGTTGTACAGTTCAAACAACAACAAAAAAAATGGGCTTCAGAACAACTCAAATATTAAGAAGGAGGCTCCATTTGACTGCCAAGTCCTTGAGAAACTTGTAAAACAAGGGCAGCCAAAAAAGAAGAAAATATGCTCTCAGCAAAATTTATAACCCCTGGAAGAGCTGGATATATCCTAACTGAGGTTTTTAGGATGACAGACACCTTCCAGTTTGCACACGCATCCCCACAGGCAGCAGCTATAGCTCCCCACCTCCCCGCTGCTGTCTCCTGCCGGAGCTCCTGGAGCCCAGGGCAGGATTTCTGCTGCTCCAGCAACACACTCAGCCGCTCCCAAGCGAGCCACTGGACTTTGCACGGATGTGGATGAGGAGGATTCAGATATCCTTTTGTGGTAAGGGAGTGACATCTAGCAGGGTGGCAGTAACATTTATACATCCACTTTTTTTTTTTTTTTTTAACCATTTGGACTCACGTTCACTTCGGTATGTTTAGAACAGGGAGGCTTTCGCGTTCACTTCAGTACGTTTAGATCAGGGAGGCTTTTTCAATTAAGTGCAGTTCAAAGAGTTTGAAAAACTTCTCTTTAAATTCTGCTAACGATTCTCCTCTACTTCCATATCAGACACGTCGGTTTTCACATTGAACAAAGCTTCCTTCTGCTGTGCAAGGTCACCTGAATCATGTTCATTTAGGAAATGAATTTTACCTTTAATATATCTCTCTCTCTCATCCATGATGGAAAAGGAATGCCTTGGCTGAATATCTGAAAAAGCACTGCTCTTAGTACACAGTAGTTGTCCCTCCTGACTTGTCGCAGATATTTGATATGATAGTTCCAAAACAATTCTTCATATGCCTAGAAAAAGACCAAAAAAATTCAGCAATAAACATTTTAAATCTTAGACCAAAGCCATTGGAGTCCAATTCCAAACTACTCATAAGAGGGGGCTAGGGGAAAGAGCGAGTATATTTATAAGTTTCATATACACAAAAATGTTCTAACTTCATAGGTTTTGTAAACACCTCGCACTGGCACTGACCCTTAAGAGTGATTCTGCACTTTCTCCAAACCCAGCGACTTCTCTGCACTGTCGCTAGTGTAAGCATTCACATAGTCAACCAAAGCAGAACAGATCGGTGAAGACTTCTTTGCCATAACAGCGTTAATGCCGACCACTTCACAACGTGTGCCAAGACGTGGGATGGAGCAGCAAAAGGGCAGGAACAGGCGTCTGGAGAAAACTCCTTTTGGTCATCTTGCACTGATCTGAATCCATCGTGCAATGGTGACCTAAGCAGATCTGGCAGCTCTGTCCTGAAGTGGATGGCCCTTCTTCCAGCTACACAATCCCTGTATTTCCTCTGCATTACCTCTGGCTCTCATCTGAGCCCTTGGTGAAACAATTCAGATCAATAAACTAGCAGAGAATTAGAAAGAGGACTCTACAGTTCCACAGGCCGCTGCATCAGTCTCACAGTTTGCTTCCTGAAGGGGGCAAGAAGATGGTCTCAATTCCTGGTCCTCTTTCATCTCAGTTGCTTCCTCACCCGATCCCAGCACCACTTCTCGGCTGCATAGTCTCCCCTACTCTGACTTTGCATTGGCTGCGATAGTAAGCCTACTGAATTACCCTGCTGGGGGAGCGTCCTGCTGCTTCAGCAAGCTCAGGTGGCTCAGAGAGGGGTCCTTCAGGATGAAAGGCTCCATGACCTCACCATCTTGGTGAACCACATCCAACAGAAGACGCAAGAGCCAGCATAAAAGAGGGAGAGGGACTGCTTAGCTAGAATGAGGTGAGGAAAAGGAAGAGACAAGACAAGCAAGGGACCGCCTTGGGGACGGCAAGCAGGTTAGGCAAGCAGGTTAGGCTGGTTCAGGACCTCACAAGACCTCATCCTAAAATGTGCTCCTTACTGTGGTAACTTCCATGTGATATAGCCAGCCATCCACCGGCTGCTCTATATAAAGGAGTCTCCTTTTCAGCTAGAAGGCTTATGGATTTTCTGAAAGGCATACTGTTGCCCAGTATGTTTTTGAAAATTTATTAAAACTTTCACTATCTTTTGTTATGTGTTCCTCCAAATCACTTTTGGCCTTGTTGTGTGTTGTTCTGAGCACTTTTGGCATTGCTGTGTTCCTGCATTTAACCTGGCAAAGTTGGATCCTTTCTCTGTTCATCATTTGGACACAACTCCAGCTTTTTGAAAGATATCTTCTTTTTTCTCGTAACTCCCTGATGCTGCTGTTTAGCCTTATCAGCTTCATTTCACCCTTTCTTAAGTCCTTCTTGTTTTGCATTTGCTCTGTGATTCCAATACCATGACCTAAAGCTATATATATGTCAAGTACACCAACCGTAAATACTCAAGACTCTTAGCTGTCTTTTAGCTTCTTTTTAACATACTTCCTTGTTTTTATGTAATTTCCTTTCCTGAAGGTGGATGCAATTGTAGTAGTTTTTTTTGCTTTGTTGTTCTTGCAAGGATGTTGAATAGAAGTATGTGCCGTCTCCTGTTCCAGAGAACAGCAACAGAAATCAGAAAGCAACATTTTGAGGCAGATCCTGTGCACTACCCAGAACCAAGGCAAGGGTTGCTTCCTTTCCTAAAGGCTCCCTGAAAAGCTGATCCATGAAACAGTCATTGGCAGCACCTTGAAGTTCAACCCCACAATTGTTGCCAGTGCAGATGGCTAGTTGGTGTCTCTCATTACTACTGCATCTCCTGCCCCTTCTCCCTTTTTCATCTCTCTCAGCACCTCATGGTCAGTGTTCCCACCATCATCAGATAATCAGAAATATGGACCCGGTGCTACATTTGTCCTGTGCTGGTCTGAAATGCCACACCATGAGGATACGAGGATATAAACATCACAGTTAGCTGATTCACTGGATTTGACTCTAAGCTTGTTTTATCATAGAATCATAGGATAGTTGGGTTGGAAGGGACCTTTAAAGGTCATCTAGTCCAACCCCCCTGCCGTGGGCAGGGACATCTTCAACTAGATCAGGTTGCTCAGAGCCCCGTCCAACCTGACCTTGAATGTTTCCAGGGATGGGGCACCTACCACCTCTCTGGGCAACCTGTTCCAGTGTTTCACCACTCTCACTGTAAAAAATTTCTTCCTCATATCTAGTCTAAATCTACCCTCTTTTAGTTTAAAACCATTCCCTGTCCTGTCCCAACAGGCCTTGCTAAAAAGTTTGTCCCCATCTTCCTTATAAGCCCCCTTTAAGTACTGAAAGGCTGCAAACAGATACTACTCCTCTACCACCGGTATAGCTACTTTAGCTGTAAGTTTTATGGGAAAAGTAAAAATCCAGCCCACGGTCTTTGAGCCTACCTTGGTGAATAAGGCTTAACACAGTTGAAACAGAGAGCCATAAAACACTTGCTCTTCTTTGCTCCCGAGGCCCGTCCCTGTCACAAGTTAGCGTACCGTAGTGCTGCTCCCACTTCAAGCGCTGGTCAGGGCCCTTCGGAGGCACCGCTGCTCCCGCCATGCCCCCTGGCCACGCTGCCTCCGTTAATGGCCACCGAGATATACCTGCCACAGCCCACTGCACGTGCAGTAACATACGTCTTTTGCAGGAAGCGCAGCTGCCATTCTGCCTATCGGGTGTAAGCACGTACACACAACGTACAGAGCTGAAAAACACGCTGGTGAGTTGACAGAAAACAGTGTATCTAGTGTGGTGAACCATGAATTTAGGAGGTCCTTGGCTCGGGAGTTCAGCTATCCATGACCCAAAGCCCGGTTCACTGCAGCACAACTCTGTCGCCTTGACTCACAGTTACAAAGAGAACTTACTAAGCTGCAAGAAACTATTTCAGCTAAAATGATGCAAGGTAAGAGAAATAAAAATCCAGGGAGAAGTATAATTACTGAGATAGTCGCAGCTAGCAGCTCAAAGATACAAGAGGGAAAAAGAGAAGGAAAAAAAAACCCAAACACCAAAAAAACCCCTTACATGGAAAGGAATAAAAACCATAGAAGGAAAAAAAAAAAAAGATAATCAGAAGAAAGCAGCACCGAGGATTAGCAGATGCCCACAAGCAACGGTGGCTGCCACCTCCCCACGCAGCCCAGGGCTGTCTCCAGCCACCCCTCAGCGGCTGATGCTGTGGATGACGAGGACATTAACTGTGAGATTAGTAGCTTGTTAGTCCTAGCTACGTGTGGTATGAGGCAGCAGGAGCTGCCGGGTGTAGTTGGCCTGCGTGTGTCCCGCTTGCAGGGCCTCGTGCGGGGGAAGACACCGGCGCAGAAGTGCCGGGGCGCGCCGCGGCAGCGCCGGGCTGGAGCAGACGGACGCTGCGCGAAGGCGGGTGATGGCCACCATCCAGCACGCTGGTCCTTG